GACGTTTGATTATTTGGGATAGTGGAGGCAGAGTGGGATTGAAAGTGGTTACTAGAGGGATGCGGCTAGATTTATTTTTAATCTTGTATATTAGGGTGTCTTCTCTAGGTGTGGAAATTGCTTTATTTATTTGTTCCCTGGTTAGGTGTTGTTTATAGCCACGTGTATATATATATATATATATATATATAGGTAAAAATCCGTTGTAAGTAATCTAAGTGAATCCTAGTAATATAAAATATTAGAATAAGAGAAGAGAGCTCAGTATATTTATTATAGAGCATATATAAATAAGGTTTTCTTAGAAAGTTATTTTTATTTTTAACTGTTTAATTACCTTCTTTTTAATTACTACTGATCGTTTATTAAATTAAGTTTATGTATGTAGTAATATTGTAGTTTCCCCTATAAAGAACTCTTTTAATGTTAAATTTTAAGCGCGTCTTTAAATTTTAATCTAATTTTTATCCATAATCTATATTAATACATAATTTAATATGTATTTTATATAATTGTATTTATACTTTATATTTTACTAATTTGGTCGTATTTATCTATTTAGTTATTTGTTATTTATTTAATTAGTGTTTTATACCTTTATTATTATACTTCTATTTTTTATAATTCTATTTTTTAATCTAATATTTATTTAATACGAGTTTATTTTTTATAATTTTATTTTTATAATTCTATTTTTTTTTAAATCTAATATTTATTTTATACGAGTTTAATGCGAATATTCTCTTGTTCTTTTATTTATTTACTTATTATTTTCTTTAGAAATTTAATCTATTATTTAACTAATATTAATATGCTCTTTTCTTCATGCTAAAAATATTTTTAATTAAACCTTTTTAATTTGCGTTTAGTATAAAATTTATATTTTAAAATTTAATATTTTATTTTCTATTTTAAAATTTTAAATTATATCTTAATTATAGAAATTTCCTTAATATTATCTAAAAACCTTTGCAAAATTTTCAAATATTGTATTTCCTTATATAATTTCTCATTTTGAACAAGAGTTAACGATAAATATATGTTAAGGTCAGCCCATGTCTTTGCGAAATTGAAGATTTTTCATCTTAATCTCTCTCTTTTAATCATTTACTCTATCCCCTGTCAAATTGCTTCTTTTTCTCTTTTTCTCTCTTAATCTTTCTCTTCCCCCTCCCACTTTAAATGCATTTTTTCTTATGTTCAAATTATATTTGATTTTGAAAAGAAAAAAGAACTTTAATTAAATAAAAATTATGAGACACAAAAATGAGTTACGGGCAACATTAATCGTGTTGACTATTTGTTTTACGAATTTAACTGTAGATTATTTCCTTTTTAGGGCCAGTTAGGATGAAATAAAACAATATAATTTATGTACGTATGTGACAAACTTTGAAATGTTATATGTTTCTTATTTTTTCTTTACAAAAATAAATATAACTTTAATTTGGGCGGGTGGGTCATCGTTTGTATGTAAGAGTCAGTATGTGTGTGCATGCTTCTTAGTTGTAACGGGGGGGTAGAAGAGTGGCTTGAATTTAGTTCATATCGTGACGCTTGTTTGGGTCGGTCTCATTGTAGTTTTCAGCGTGATAGCTTTTATTTCTGTTACCCCCAACGTCGTGCGTTTGGTATTTTTTTAAAAAAAATAATATGACGTCCATTACTTTTTTTATTAATAAAGCAATAAAATCACCTGAGGATACCGTAATTTTGAAACGAAGGTAGCGGCTTCAACTGATCTCCTGATTTTTAAAGTATACGTGCATAAATGCATCCATACATCCATATATATATATATATATATATATATATATATATATATATATATATATATATATATATATATATATATGGACTCTCCTGTCGGTTTCGACGTATGAGGATATGACAGCTTATTGATTCAATTATGAAAGTTTGTGCGATAACGAATCAAGGTAAACCGCCAGAAACCCCGCACAAGTGATTTGATTAAAGTAGTGAAGGTTTGTGCAGAACCATCCACATTTTTCGAAAACTATTGATAAATGCCACAGACAAAGCAAACAATATACCTCAGGCTTTTTCGTGAATATATATATATATATATATATATATATATATATATATATATATATATATATGGGGGAGAGAGAGACATAAATATTGCATGATAACTGTAAGTTATCAAATAAAAATCTATCATCAATGTGTGATACGGTATTATGATCGCTTACTTGTTCCTTCAGTGTTGATTTCTATGTACACACTGATTATATCTTCTGATATTATATCCTTACGTTATACATTTTAATCAATATATATATATATATATATATATATATATATATGTGTGTGTGTGTGTGTGTGTGTTTGTGTGTGTTTGTGTGCAATCATTTAACCCCAAACAATGTGAGAATGCCATTAGAACGCAAGTGGTCGCAGAGAGTGAATTATGAAAGATATGACTGAGTATAGGGAGGATTGTTGAGAGGACAAAAAAATGAACGGGATTCAAGAAGATAGAAGATGACGATTGACTTTGCATTTAAAATTTTGAATGCTGTAGTTATAAGGGAATCAAGTAAACGGAAGTGAGTTCCACGGGCGAGAACTACGAGAAAAGTAACTGTTGTAGTGGAAGTAGCGATTACATGCTACTATTTTTCATCAGTAAACGGGTGAGACTTAGATGCCAATCTAGTAGCACGCTTAAATTCATGTCGTCGCGGCACCAGAGAAGGTAGCTCGTCCGATCAGATGCCATGAAAATATATTTAGAAAAGGCAGGGAGACGGCACGCCACGTCGGTGAGAAAATGACTGAATACAAGATGCCTGGTCAGAATGTGTGTGTGCGTATATATATATATATATATATATATATATATATATATATATATATATATATATATAATTTTTGCTATTTAACAATTAGATTTATCGTCGGACTGTGTGGCTGAGACCATGGTTCATTCAAAATATCAGCGATCACCAAAATAGCAATAGAAGCCCTACTTGTCATATGAGCTTAGGAGTGAAAATATTAGAGATTTACTCAGAATGGGCTAAATTTCAAATCCAACAGATACTGCTGGCTTTAATAATAGTAATAATATTAAAAGAAACAAA